TAGTTGGTCCAGTCAGCCGTCCAGTTGAGTGGCCGTCTAGTTGGTCCAGTCAGCCGTGACCGTCTAGTCGGTCCAGTCAGCCGTCCAGTTGAGTGACCGTCTAGTTGGTCCAGTCAGCCGTCCAGTTGAGTGACCGTCTAGTTGGTCCAGTCAGCCGTCCAGTTGAGTGACCGTCTAGTTGGTCCAGTCAGCCGTCCAGTTGAGTGGCCGTCTAGTTGGTCCAGTCAGCCGTGACCGTCTAGTTGGTCCAGTCAGCCGTGACCGTCTAGTTGGTCCAGTCAGCCGTGACCGTCTAGTCGGTCCAGTCAGCCGTCCAGTTGAGTGACCGTCTAGTTGGTCCAGTCAGCCGTCCAGTTGAGTGGCCGTCTAGTTGGTCCAGTCAGCCGTGACCGTCTAGTCGGTCCAGTCAGCCGTCCAGTTGAGTGACCGTCTAGTTGGTCCAGTCAGCCGTCTAGTTGAGTGACCGTCTAGTTGGTCCAGTCAGCCGTGACCGTCTAGTTGGTCCAGTCAGCCGTGACCGTCTAGTTGGTCCAGTCAGCCGTGACCGTCTAGTCGGTCCAGTCAGCCGTCCAGTTGAGTGACCGTCTAGTTGGTCCAGTCAGCCGTCCAGTTGAGTGGCCGTCTAGTTGGTCCAGTCAGCCGTGACCGTCTAGTCGGTCCAGTCAGCCGTCCAGTTGAGTGACCGTCTAGTTGGTCCAGTCAGCCGTCCAGTTGAGTGGCCGTCTAGTTGGTCCAGTCAGCCCTGACCGTCTAGTTGGTCCAGTCAGCCGTGACCGTCTAGTTGGTCCAGTCAGCCGTGACCGTCTAGTCGGTCCAGTCAGCCGTCCAGTTGAGTGACCGTCTAGTTGGTCCAGTCAGCCGTCCAGTTGAGTGGCCGTCTAGTTGGTCCAGTCAGCCGTGACCGTCTAGTCGGTCCAGTCAGCCGTCCAGTTGAGTGACCGTCTAGTTGGTCCAGTCAGCCGTCCAGTTGAGTGACCGTCTAGTTGGTCCGGTAAACTATATCTAGCCACAGACGAAGATGACGTAGACATGTGTGGGCATCGTGTGGGCAGTGTCTGGGCATCGTGTGGGCATTAGTTTGAGTGCATGGAATGCTCGGCCCATCAAGTGTTGTCAGTTGATTTTAGTTGTCTACTGCCAATGATAATTAAACGCACAAAACTTATTTTAAAAGATGCTAATTAAACCTTAAAATTTAAAACTTATTTTAAAAGTTGTTAATTAACCTTTATAATTTAAAACTTATTTTAAAAGATTCTATTTAACCTTATAATTTAAAACTTATTTTAAAAAATGCTAATTAAACCTTATGATTTTAAAAAATATTTTTAAAAACTTTATAACAATACAATACGCTTTTAAAGTTGAATAAACAAGTTTTAATAGCAAGCTTATGAACTAAAAAGGAGAAAATAAATTATTTCTTTAAATATTTAATAATACACCACTATTTAAATAACTATAAAGAAAATAATATTTGAGAAAAATATTTTACGAAATAGTTATTGGTCAAAACGCAATGTATTTTACTACACGTTGAACAATATTAGAGACAAAGCAAAGAAATAACTAAATAGCTAAAAATCCTAACACATTGAATGTAACATAGGCTATCAATACCTATTAGAAAAATTAAACCAAATTATATACCTTATTAGTCAACACAATACCATATTAAATGCACACGCTGATTTAGAGACTCAAGTGATTGCGTTAAAAAAAAAATTCATAAAAAACGTTTTAATAACAAGCTTTTATGTAATAATGCACTAAAAAGTAGAAAATAAATTATACACTACTATTTAAATTACTATAAAGAAAAGCGTGGGTCACTTTAGTACTTTAGTACCTATTGGATACCTTTACTAATATTTGAGAAGAGACCCACGCTTTTCTTTATAGTAATTTAAATAGTAGTGTATAATTTATTTTCTACTTTTAGTGCATTATTACATAAAAGCTTGTTATTAAAACGTTTTTATGAATTTTTTTTTCAGTACTTTACATGTTTTATTTACAATAGTGTTACATGACTAAAAACCATTGCGCGTCTATTGAACGTGATGGCGCAGCTATTGAACGTGATGACGCGTGTGGTGTGGTTGGATAGACATGCCTACTAATTCGGTCCAAATTTTAATTAATTCATAAAAAATTAATTAGGCATCCAATTAAGTCAAATTTAATTTCAGATTGCATTGTCTTCATGTCTTGACCCACGTGTCAAATGTGAATCGTATCGGTCAAGTAGAAGTGTCCGAATTTTCACTCCTGCGTTTCGATCTAGACAGACTGTCGACTGACGACATAGGAAGTGAGTTAAATAAAAGCTTGTAAAAACCCGGCTGTTCAATTGTATCCATGTTGTTTTTAAAGTAATTTTTATTCATTTGACCGAGAAAATTGTATACATTTCATAGCGTACGTCTTGATGAGTAGATTTGTAGAATCTATATCTAGATCTAAAACAAATTTGAATGAAAGAATTCATTTCTTCATATTCTAAAATTGGAAGATGACGCCATTAGTTTTGTGTACTTTCCGTAGTTTAAACGTGACATCATTGGGTTTTTTTTTCGTGCTTATCACAATCATAAACACCGGTTGCTAAATTAAAAATATGTTTATTTTTATGTTTCTACATTTTCTACATTCGAATATTGTTTTATTTTTCTTTTCTTTCTTGACTAAAATTTAGCTTATATATATAAAACATCCAACATTTTATTTTTAACAAAAGTCCATATTAGTGGCTTCTCTAGGTCGGGTGTCACCCGATGCGGCACGTAATGGTGTAAACCCCCCCCCCACCCCCCCAAAAATGATATATTATAAGAGAGAGAGAGAGAGAGAGAGAGAGAGAGAAGTGCATACATGGTTTTTATATATTAGATTATTACTTGTTATTAAAACGTTATTAAAAAACGTTTTTATGCATTTTCTTCAGTACTTTAACATTTTTATTTACAATACAGTTGCTTGACTAAAACCTATTGCGCACCAAATGAACATGATAATGCGCATGTAGCAGTTCGGTGTAGTGTACGACAGCCTACTCATTTCAAAAAATTTTAACTAATTCATTCAAAATTAATTGGACATCCAATTAAGTCAAATTTTATGTCATATTTCATTGTCTTCAAATCTTGACCCACGTGTCAAATTTCAGAAAAATTGGTCGGTTAAAAGTGCACAAACCCTACCCCCCCCCCGCCGGCACAACAACATGTGGATAACATGACCCAACCTACCAACAACCTATGGATAACATGACCCAACCTACCAACAACGTGTGGATAACATGACCCAACCTACCAACAACCTATGGATAACATGACCCAACCTACCAACAACCTATGGATAACATGACCCAACCTACCAACAACGTGTGGATAACATGACCCAACCTACCAACAACGTGTGGATAACACGACCCAACCTACCAACAACCTATGGATAACATGACCCAACCTACCAACAACGTGTGGATAACATGACCCAACCTACCAACAACCTATGGATAACATGACCCAACCTACCAACAACGTGTGGATAACATGACCCAACCTACCAACAACCTATGGATAACATGACCCAACCTACCAACAACGTGTGGATAACATGACCCAACCTACCAACAACTTATGGATAACATGACCCAACCTACAACCAACTTGTGGATAAGATGACCCAACCTACCAACAACTTGTGGATAACATGACCCAACCTACCAACAACTTATGGATAACACGACCCAACCTACCAACAACCTATGGATAACATGACCCAACCTACCAACAACGTGTGGATAACATGACCCAACCTACCAACAACTTATGGATAACATGACCCAACCTACCAACAACTTGTGGATAACATGACCGAACCTACCAACAACCTATGGATAACATGACCCAACCTACCAACAACTTATGGATAACATGACCCAACCTACCAACAACTTATGGAAAACATGACCCAACCTACAACCAACTTGTGGATAAGATGACCCAACCTACCAACAACATGTGGATAACATGACCCAACCTACCAACAACTTGTGGATAACATGACCCAACCTACCAACAACCTATGGATAACATGACCCAACCTACCAACAACCTATGGATAACATGACCCAACCTACCAACAACGTGTGGATAACATGACCCAACCTACCAACAACGTGTGGATAACATGACCCAACCTACCAACAACTTGTGGACAACATGACCCAACCTACCAACAACGTGTGGATAACATGACCCAACCTACCAACAACCTATGGATAACATGACCCAACCTACCAACAACGTGTGGATAACATGACCCAACCTACCAACAACGTGTGGATAACATGACCCAACCTACCAACAACCTATGGATAACATGACCCAACCTACCAACAACGTGTGGATAACATGACCCAACCTACCAACAACCTATGGATAACATGACCCAACCTACCAACAACGTGTGGATAACATGACCCAACCTACCAACAACTTGTGGATAACATGACCCAACCTACCAACAACGTGTGGATAACATGACCCAACCTACCAACAAGATTCAAACATCCAGAGCGAGGCTGTCAGAACTCCAACAATAGTGTCCCTTCATTAGTTGGGGAATACCGCCACTCCCCCCTCCCCAGCCCCAGAGTCAAAGATGCCTCTCACGGTACCACTTAGCAGAATAGTAGTCAAGCCCCCCCCCCTCCCCTGAGACTGAAGAGAAGTATATGACTTTGTATACCAACACAAATAAAGATGGCGTCATTTTTAAACTATTGACTTTCTAATAGTCTAATAGAAAATAAATCTCGTCATTACAATGTTGAAATATACTTCATTCTGCACCACAGGCTCAGTAAACGGGGAAACAGACTCACGTCTCTAGAGGCAAACAATCACAGATACCCTAAACACGGTCCAACACAAAGGAATCAAATCCTTCGGAAAAAATTATATTTAGATCAAAACAAAGAGAATATTTACATCATAACAGACAGCAGTTGTCAGAAAAATCCGTGAAATCAAAGCACAAAAACACTGATTCTTTAGGTCACAGTACTAACTCCTTAGGTCACAGCACTGACTCGTTAGGTCAAAGCACTGACTCCTGGGGCCACAGCACTGACTCCTAACGCCTGTGTCTGAGAACGAGCACACACAGTAGCGTCACACACTGCACCCGGCTCACACACCCGTGGTCTGGCCACAACAACTCACGCCAAAACTAGGCCACTGCTGCTGTCTCTGGTACCATGTGCAGCCTCCCCACCCCTCCCTCCCCTCTCACTCCCGCCTGCAGCGCGCGTCAGCCGAGCGTGTACGCGGGTAGAGCGGGTAGTTCTCGTCTGCTGGCATCACACGTCTGCTGGGGCTGGAGAACATCACACGTTTTCATACCTACCCCCCCCCCCCCTTAAGTTTTTCATACCTACCCCCCCCCCCTTAAGTTTTTAATACCTACCTCCCCTTGATTTTTTCATACCTACCCCCCCCCCCCTTAAGTTTTTCATCGCTACCCCCCCCCCCTTAAGTTTTTCATACCCACTCCCCCCCATTAAGTTTTTCATACCTACTCCCCCCCCCCCCTAAATTTTTCATACCTACCCCCCCCTCCACCCCTTGTTTTTCATACCTACCCCCCCCCCTTAAGTTTTTCATACCTACCCCCGTTGTTTTTCATACCTACCCCCCCCCCCCCCCCGCCTTAATTTTTTCATACCTCCCCCCCTTAAGTTTTTAATACCTACCCCCCCCCCCCTCCTTGAGTTTTTCATACCTACCCACCCCTGAAGTTTTTCATCGCTACCCCCCCCCCCCTTAAGTTTTTCATCGCTACCCCCCCCCCCTTAAGTTTTTCATACCTACCCCCCCCCCCCTTAAGTTTTTCATACCTACCCCCACCCCTTGTATTTCATACCTACCCCTTCTTAAGTTTTTCATACCTACCACCCTTGTTTTTCATACCTACCCCCCCCCCCCCCGCCTTAAGTTTTTCATACCTCCCCCCCCTTGTTTTTCATACCTACCCCCCCCCCCCGCCTTAAGTTTTTCATACCTACTCCCCCCATTAAGTTTTTCACACCTACCCCCCCCCCCCGCCTTAAGTTTTTCATACCTCTCCCCCCCTTAAGTTTTTAATACCTACCCACCCTTTAAGTATTTCATCGCTACCCCCACCCTTAAGTTTTTCATACCCCCATTAAGTTTTTCATACCTACCCCCCCCCCCTAAATTTTTCATACCTACCCCCCACCCCTTGTTTTTCATACCTACCCCCCCCCCCCTTAAGTTTTTCAGACCTACCCCCCTTGTTTTTCATACCTACCCCCCCCCCCGCCTTAAGTTTTTAATACCTACCCTTAAGTTTTTCATATCTACCCCCCCCCCCTTAAGTTTATCATACCTACACCCCCTTAAGTTTTTCATACCACCCCCCCCCCCTTAAGTTTTTCCAACCCCCCCCCCCTTTAAGTTTGTCATACCTCACCCCCTTAAGTTTTTCATACCTCCCCCCCCCTTAAGTTTGACATACCTCCCCCCCCCCCTTAAGTTTGTCATACCTCCCCCCCCTTAAGTTTTTCATACCTCCCCCCCTTATCATACCTACCCCCCCCCCCCCCACCCCCCTTAAATCTTTCATAGTTACCCTTGCCTTCACATCTGTTCATATATATTTTCCAGGTGGGAGGGGAGCCACTTAAATCTTTCAGTAGGGGGTGGAGCAGATTAAATTTTTCGAAGAGGGTGGGGGGGGGGAGGCGTCGGACACTGGTAAAAGTACATATTATCTGTGTACATTAAGTTTCGTTCGGAGATGGGAGAGGAAGGGGGGGGGGGGTGCCTGATGAGATGCCTGAAAGAAACTCATTTTTTAAAGTGACGTCACACACAAAACGTCACGCCCCCCCCCCCCCCCCCCCCCCTCCTGCTGCATGATGTTTTACCCCAGACGTTAAATGACACCACTTGCTGGTTGGTTTTATCCGTTAGATGGGCGTGGCCTACTGGCTGTCTGCGCAGATCGATGCGCAACAGTACCGAAGAAAGCCGGCCTGTGATTGGATAAAATGTCTAGTGATTGAATTGATTGGACGGGGAAGCGTGTGGCTCAGCTCGTCGTCTCGGCATTCTAATGTAGGCAGTCTAATGTAGGCATTCTAATGTAGGCAGTCCAATGTAGGCAGTCTAATGTAGGCATTCTAATGTAGGCAGTCTAATGTAGGCATTCTAATGTAGGCATTCTAATGTAGGCAGTCTAATGTAGGCAGTCTAATGTAGGCATTCTAATGTAGGCAGTAAAGTCATTCTAATGTAGGCACTCCAATGTAGGCAGTCTAATGTAGGCACTTTATAGCCATTCTAATGTAGGCAGTCTAATGTAGGCACTTTATAGCCATTCTAATGTAGGCAGTCTAATGTAGGCACTTTATAGCCATTCTAATGTAGGCAGTCTAATGTAGGTGCCTGAAAGAAAATGTCGGTGTGTAGGGGAGGGGCACCAGTACAACAGCTTCACCAACTGGCAGTTTGTATTTCTGATGGAATACAAAACATGTGGATAGATAGCTATTGACAGCCATTTTCAAACCTATACTTATGGGCAGACTCACCTAAAGTTATAGTTATGGGAAGACACACCTAAACAGTTTCTTCTAGGCATCTCTTCCTCCGAACGAAGTGGAATTTATATAGAAAATATATACTTTTGACAGTGTCCGCCCCCCCCCCCCCTCCCAGAAAATTTCAAGTGCACCCCCGGAGAAAAAAGTCTGGAAGAAACACTGCACCTAGAGTGGCTGTCAACCCAACACACTTTAACTAAAATACATTCCATATCACACGGCCCCGCCTTTGTCACCTCCCCTTTGACATGAACCCCACCTGTATCGCAAGGCACCGTCTTTGTTACCAGGCACAGTCTCTGTCACATGGCCCCGCCCATATCACATGATTACGCCACAGTCACCTGGCCAGCCCCTATTAGATGGCCCCGCCCCTTTCTCTTGTCCTACACTCTGACCCCACTAGCCGCCCCTATCACGTGGCTCCGCCCCTTGCTCTTGACCCTACACTGTGACCCCACTAGCCGCCCCTATCACGTGGCTCCGCCCCTTGCTCTTGTCCTACACTCTGACCCCACTAGCCGCCCCTATCACGTGGCCCCGCCCCTTTCTCTTGTCCTACACTCTGACCCCACTAGCCGCCCCTATCACGTGGCTCCGCCCCTTGCTCTTGACCCTACACTGTGACCCCACTATCCGCCCCTATCACGTGGCTCCGCCCCTTGCTCTTGTCCTACACTGTGACCCCACTAGCCGCCCCTATCACATGGCTCCGCCCCTTTCTCTTGTCCTACACTGTGACCCCACTAGCCGCCCCTATCACATGGCTCCGCCCCTTTCTCTTGTCCCTACACTGTGACCCCACTAGCCGCCCCTATCACATGGCTCCGCCCCTTTCTCTTGTCCCTACACTGTGACCCCACTAGCTGCCCCTATCACATGGCTCCGCCCCTTTCTCTTGTCCTACACTGTGACCCCACTAGCCGCCCCTATCACATGGCTCCGCCCCTTTCTCTTGTCCTACTAGCCTGGGGGTTTAGGTGTGCTAGAGCAGACGAGATGAAGTCACGTGACATTAAACTAACCACTAACTTGAGACAGTGGTCGTAGCTGGAAGATTAAGGGATTAAGTGGGGTGGGGGTGGGGATTCGGGCGAGATACTTTGATTTAAGATCATCTATTCTTAAGTGCTACTGTTAGATTTTGGTTAGTTCAGAGACGGTTGTCCATTTTTGACTGTCTATGTCTGTTTTGGTCATCTTTATGTTGTAGTTTTGGTCAACTTTATGGTGTAGTTTTGGTCAACTTTATGGTGTAGTTTTGGTCAACTTTATGTTGTAGTTTTGGTCAACTTAGTATTGTAGTTTTGGTCAACTTTATGTTGTAGTTTTGGTCAACTTTATGGTGTAGTTTTGGTCAACTTTATGGTGTAGTTTTGGTCAACTTTATGTTGTAGTTTTGGTCAACTTAGTATTGTAGTTTTGGTCAACTTTATGTTGTAGTTTTGGTCAACTTTATGGTGTAGTTTTGGTCAACTTTATGGTGTAGTTTTGGTCAACTTTATGGTGTAGTTTTGGTCAACTTTATGTTGTAGTTTTGGTCAACTTAGTATTGTAGTTTTGGTCAACTTTATGTTGTAGTTTTGGTCAACTTTATGGTGTAGTTTTGGTCAACTTTATGGTGTAGTTTTGGTCAACTTAGTATTGTAGTTTTGGTCAACTTTATGGTGTAGTTTTGTTATGTTGTAGTTTTGGTCAACTTTATGTTGTAGTTTTGGTCAACTTAGTATTGTAGTTTTGGTCAACTTTATGTTGTAGTTTTGGTCAACTTTATGGTGTAGTTTTGGTCAACTTTATGGTGTAGTTTTGGTCAACTTTATGGTGTAGTTTTGTTATGTTGTAGTTTTGGTCAACTTTATGATGTAGTTTTGGTTAATGTTGTATTGTAGTTTTGGTCAACTTTATGTTGTAGTTTTGGTCAACTTTATGTTGTAGTTTTGGTCAACTTTATGTTGTAGTTTTGGTCAACTTTATGGTGTAGTTTTTGGTCAACTTTATGGTGTAGTTTTTGGTCAACTTTATGATGTAGTTTTGGTTAATGTTGTATTGTAGTTTTGGTCAACTTTATGTTGTAGTTTTGGTCAACTTTATGTTGTAGTTTTGGTCAACTTTATGTTGTAGTTTTGGTCAACTTTATGGTGTAGTTTTTGGTCAACTTTATGGTGTAGTTTTTGGTCAACTTTGTGTTGTAGTTTTGGTCCTCGGTTAACGTTGACCAAAAACTACAACACAAAGTTGAGTTGACCAAAATATTTCTGGAAGAAAATATTTATACACTTCATGCTGGGGTCAAGGGCAGGAGATGAGTGCAACTAATAGAGTGCTGACCATAGCTATTACACAATCGACTTACAGAGTGTACCATTACATACCATTACATACCATTACATACCGTTACATACCATTACATATCCTACCGTTACACGAGTCACACATTTGATTACACACCCAGCCACCCTGCCCCCCCCCATACCCCCCCCTGCCCCCCCCCCCGAGTTTCTTCCAGGCATCTCTTCGGGGGGGGGGCTTTGCCCCCCCCCCCCCCCCGAAAAATTTTTACCGCCCCCCCGAACGAAATGAAATTT